TTGGTGAATGCTGCCATAATCCTTGCCTTCAGTTCACCTTTGGTATCACAAAGAGTTTTGTTGGTCTCTCACTTAACTGTGTCCCACACATAATAATCAAGGGGGTTGCAGTTTGGGGAGTTAGGTGGCCAGATGTAAGGGGTGATGTAGTTATAGAAATTGTCTGACAACCATGACTGGGTTTTCCTGCTTGTGTGGCATGGTGCAGAGTCCTGTTGCCAGACATAGGGTCTTCCAGCAGCCACACTCTTTACACAGGGCAGCACTACCTCTCTCAAGGCACTTGATGTAGGCATCCATGTTGAGTCTGAGTTCCTGTGGGAAGATGAATGGTGGCATAGCACTGCCCTCATCAACAAATTTTGAAGTTTTTCTTACCAGAGTGAGTTTTTCAAGCTGCCATACCTTCCTAATCACCATTAGACTCATCCAACTTTTCCTAAATCCTCTGAACTATTCTCAGATTGACACCTATATACTCTGAAATTTACTTATTGGAGCTTCTGGTACAAATACCGAGCAGTGCAGCATGCTGTTTCCAAATTTCTGGCGGTGTGAATTGCATCATGGTGCTCTTTTTCACACAGACAGTACCCAACTGACCCTATTATACTGTGCAGTTGACAAAATCAAAAACAAAAGGTGAAATTAAAAATATAAAATGGCAACAATTTACCCATCGCGGCTAGTATAATGAACATAGATAGGTAGATAATGCACAGACTTAGATAGATAGATAGATAGATAGATAGATAGATAGATAATGAACAGACTTAGGTAGATATATTAGTAGATAGGTAATGAACAGACTTAGATAGTGACAAGCATTATTGGATGCATATTGTCATTAAAATACTAAAGAAATATATATATATATATATAGTTTATGAACAACTAGGTAATCCATATGGGTAAACCTAAGGAGGATAAAATCCAGAGCAAATAATTTAAATAAAAACAGACCACTTTAAGGTTCCATGTAATAAATTATTTCACCACAGCCCTTTTAAAAGACTGCAGATCATCAGACTTTACTTCCAAACAAAATACATGTGTGTGTGTTGCTGATATCATCTGAAAAGTTGACAGACAAGTTCACCTATGAAACTGGAGTCAGGATGCTGAAGGTAACATCGATCATCTAAGTGACAAACTTTTACTCATATTAATCCGATATATATATATATATATATATATATATATATATATATATATATATATATATATATTTTTGAACAATGAAAAAAATATAAAAAATTAAAATCGTTAGACACACTGGGTTGTAGATTAATATTCTTTCGTTTTTTTATTATTATTTTATTTAGATTCCTCAACTAGTTTCGACCAACATGGCCATCATCGGGAGGAGAAATATTTCTGCTTGTTGGTAGCAGTAAACTACAGAAATGAATCTTTTGCTGGCGAAAATTAACTTTTGTCTGTAGTTTTCATTTGTTTTTTTATTTTTTTATCTTTTTAACACAATCTTTTAACAATCCTTGTGTTGGTCAAACCATCTCTTTTAAGTTGTTATTTGAGATAAGAGCTGGATATACATGCTGCTCTGAATTCTCTGGTCAGTTTGACAGTTTTATTGGACCTGGTGAGGGGATGTGTCTCTGTTTAGTGTTTGTGTGTGTGTTATTTGGTTCTTAGGGAGTGAGTGAGTATGATATGTGTAAGTGTGTGTATTGCTGTGGGTGTGTGTTATCATTTGGCTCATTAGTGAGTGAGTGAGTATGATGTGTGTAAGTGTGTATATTCGTGTGGGTGTGTGTATAAGTGTATAAGTGTGAGGCCTCCACACCTCCGTAAGTGTGTCTGTCTTGTGTGGGTGAGAAATGTGGGTAGGTTTTGATTTGTTGATTTATATATTGGTACTATCTGTATTGTTAAATTTATGATTTAGCCCAGCTGGATATGAGAAATGTGGGTAGGTCCTGATTTATGGGGTTATATATTAATACTATCTATATTGTTAAATTTGTGATTAAGCCTGTCTGGATAGTATGTTTTTAAACATCAGATCCACTTATTTTCATGGCACTCTAAAATCTTTCTAATGTTATCTGCTCTGAACTTTTCTATTCTCTCAATTATAGTGAATTTGGCATGGGATTTAAAATTGTGTTTTTGTAGGTGGAAATGTTGTTCTACAGGTAATAATTTTTCATGGGGAATCGACTTAATTCGATTACGATAATTATTAATTCTGTAGTGAAAGGGCCATTCAGATTTTCCTACATATTGTTTCTGGCATAGTGTGCATTCTAGAAGGTAAATTATGTTATGACTTCTACAGTTAGAGTTGTGGTAGATTTTGAAAGTAGATTTAGTGATTGAGCTAGTGAATGAATTCGTGTTTTTAATATGGTTGCAACATAAACTTCTTTTGTTGTTACATGGTTGGGAAAATCCTGTTGTTTTTGTTCTTAGTTTATTACGGATTACCTTGTCCCCTGAAATGTGGTTACTACCTATGATTTCTTTTAGGTTCTTAGGTCTACTATATGCAAGAAGGCTGGGTTCCTTAAACAATTTTTTTAGGTCTGGTTTGAGATGTAGTATTTCCCAGCGACATTTGATTATCTGGGATAGTGGAGGCAGAGTGGGATTGAAAGTGGGTACTAGAGTGATGCGGCTAGATTTATTTTTAATCTTGTACATTAGGGTGTCTTCTCTAGGTGTAGAAATTGCTTTATTTATTTGTTCCCTGATTAGGTGTTGTTTATAGCCACGTGTTGTGAATTGATGCTCCAGATTTTCAATGTGTTTATTTAATTCTTCATTGTTGGAACATATCCTTCTGAGCCTAAGTCCTTGTGAATAGGGAAGGTTCTCTTTGAGGTGTTTAGGGTGGGAAGACTTAAAGTGTAGATAGTTGTGGGTGTCAGTTATTTTAGTGTGTAGTGTCGTTTGTAGTTTCCTGCTTTCATCTATGTAAATGTGGGTGTCTAAAAATGCTACTGATGTTGTGGATTTTTCATAGTCAAACTTAATTGATTCATGCACTGTGTTTAGGGTCATAAGGAATTGGGTAAGTTTGTCATCACTACCCATGTATACAAAGAATATATCATCGATATATCTTGCATAGAATACGCAGTCGCTACTGATGAGGGGATAGATATGGGTCTCCTCAAATTTTCCCATGAATATTGTAGCATATGATGGAGCTGCAATGGTGCCCATGGCACAACCTCTTATTTGAAAGTAGTGGGCTCTATTGAAGTTGAAAGTATTCAATGTAAGGACATGCTCCATGAGTTTTATGATGACTTCTGTGGGGGGGTCTTGTTTTCTTCTTTTAGTAGGTGCTTCCTGAAGGGCTAACTGCCCTTCAGGGAGCACTTTATATATATATATATATATATATATATATATATATATATATTCATTTGAGAAGGGTTCTTTGTTTATTTTGTTAGAATTTTAGATATACCTGAGTATATTCAAGTAAGCTTCCATGACAATACTATTGTGTTTGATGCAATATGTGCTTCACTAGTGTACTAAGTACTATGGATGGAATAAAACATGTTCTATCTCTAAAGCATTCAGTGGCTAAAAAAGAAAGAGACTTAAATTACTGCTATCTTGTATACTTCTTTCAGCAATGCCATCCTGTATTAACAAGTAGAATTTCTTTGGCAGACTATCTTTTCTATAAATATTTTCATGGCATTTCTAATGAGCTTTCCTCTTGTGTCTTGGTGCTTTTAATGCTTTGCTTGGGGGGAAATTATTGTAAATGGGGGTGATATGCTAAGTAGTTCACCATGAGCAGTAGTCTACCTACTTCAAAACACTGGTGAGTATTGTATTTTGTTGACATCGTAAAGGTTACCATTTCATTACCAACCTCCATTTTTGATAACCCTATCTCAGTTACAAGAAATAAGATACCAGAAAATTGAACAAATATTAGTGATTGCAAAAATGAAAGCAGCAAAGATAACTGGACATTCAGCTAAAACACTGCACAAAATTTTTATATACAGTGTCACTAACGATAGTATTACCTAGTGCATTCACACTCTTAAGGTCACTGTGTTAACTCGCTACAACAAATGCAGAGCAAGGGTGGGGGTACAATATATCAGAGGAGAAAATTGTGAGAAGAAAGGAATTCAAAAATCACAAAATAGGTTTTTATTAAGGGTAGGGGCCTTAATTGTTGCTACAAATTGTTGTTAAACAATATTTTGCTGAATGACATCAATATTACTACTGTGGATAGGTGGTGTTATAGATCTTTTTGGTGATGATTTATCAAAAACCTAGGACATAAAACAAACTGACTCAAGGGTATAAAATAAATAATATATTTTTATTTATTTTCTTTAGAGTGAGTCCTTTGGTATATGGTGTAGCAAAATGTTTGTTTATAAAGTGGATATTGGTAGTAGCAATGTAGAAAGTCCAGTAATGGTAGTTCTGAAGTCAGACCATGCTAGGGATAGTAGGAATATTTTTAAATAGGTCAGTGTCAATCTGCTGTTTTTTCTCATCTCTAAGCAGGGTAGAAATAGCAGAGGACCTCTTAACTACTTCTTCACACATCATGTATGTCTGGTTGCTTTGGTGGTAGTGTCTTTTGTCTTGTTCCCTTATGCTATCCTCATTCTTATAGCTTAGAGGTGTCAGATCCTTTTGTATTTGCTTTTTTAACAAATTCTCTTGGGAGAGGCATGAATCCCTCTCTTTTCCTTCCAGTTAGGGCTTAATAACAGGACAAAAAGGATTTCTAGTTTTGGTTGGCAACCAGTTTAGGAGAAAGACAACTAGTTGGGCAAAGGGCTGATAACTTCACCTCATAAAAACCTACTTACTGCAGAAACCATGGCAACAACAACCAGCTATGTTAAGGCAGTAGCACTATATTTTAATGAGAATAATTATTAAATCATCAAATTTTCTCTAATATTTTTATTGAAAGTACCTCACTAGTTATGTTAGCAACGTGATTGATGAGAATCTTCTTTTGACACAGGCTTACAGCCACATTACAATGAAACACCAGTTCATGTACGATCACTGTAGTTAAGCAACCTTGACCCTGGTTAGTACTTAGATAGGTGACTGTTTGGGAATACTAACTGCTATAAGCTTGGCTGTGTGGGTAGTGTAATGGATAATTGTGTCATGAATTGTTAATTGGAGAGCCAAGTTCCAATTCCAGTTGGGTTCATTATATTCACTTACATGCAAATATCCTTGGGGAAGATATGGATCTACCATTCCACCCTCCAGTTATGGGTTAATTAGTAAGACTTGTATCACTAAAAGGAAAACATTATTATCTCAAAAAAAAGCATGCATAATGTTTAGATTTCATTTAGATTTGATATAGAGGTATATTAGTAATTTAATTAAAAGTACTTTTTTTAAGTTAAACCTTATTTTTGAATGAGTACCTGTGTGGGGGTGTATGTGTGTGTAAGAGAGAGAAAAAGAGAGGGAGTAGCAATATATCTCATAACAATGCCTGTGTGATTGTGAATGTGATTGTAAGTGTGTATTGTACAATACAGGTGTGTGTGTGTTTGTGTGTGAGGAAAAGAGAGAGAGAGAAAGAGATATGCTAAAGCTAGAGTAGTGTTATGAAAATAAATTATTAAAAAAAAAGTAGTATTGGTTAAAAAAAAAACTAAAAGTAAACTGTTTAGGTTATTAGGCTACGAAACTCTTTTTCTTTTTCCTTTTAAAGAAAAAGTGAGTTTATTTTTTTAAAAATAAACAGATTGTGTTTTACAATCTGTTTCTTTTCATGAGATTTTTATTTTAAGTGCATCAGGCTTTTGCCGCTTTTCTTTCGGTTTTTTTTTGTTTTGTTTTTTTATCACTTTATCGCTTGCATCCTATTTATTTCCCAAGGAAAGCACTTTCAATGAGAACGTGTTGAGGATTGTCTTTCCTCGGAGACCTTTTTTCTCGAAAACAAAAACAAATGACGCTGCTACACAATGAGTGTGGGCAGAACACAACGTAAAATTGATCTTTCTTAAACAAAATTTCCACTTTACTTTTACGATTTTCTTCTAATTTCTTCGTCTTTTTTTTCTTCTTCGCATTCGTCCGAAAAAAAAAACATATACAACAATTAAAACATTTCTTCAAAAAAAAAAACATGAATACAAAAATTTTAAATTCCTATCTTCATTTCGTGCTGATAATTGCCTTTTTTAATTATTTTTTTTAAATATCAAATTAAAAACTACTCCTTTTAGTTTTTTTGTGTGTGTGCTTGCTTTCTTTTTTGCTTTTTTTTTTATGAAAATCAGAAACGATCCTTGTTCGTCCGCCAAATAAACAAATAAATAAGAGAAGCTAACATGCGTCAAAATTACCTACTGCATTCATTCACTTCAGTTTTTGCAGCAATCTACCGTAACTAAGGATGCTTGCTCCTCCTCCCCCTGAATACTGCAAACGATAAAACAGCACCGACTACAACACCATCAGGTTACCAACCACGCTACGAAATAGGCCGTTTCGTTTAGTAAAGCTTTTAGTTTTATTATTGCAGTGGTTAGCCAAGCATACACTTACTACAGTCTGTTTGTGATTATTTTTCCACTATTGGTCTACGTACATTTTATGCGCAGTGCCTGACCTAGGGATCCCTTTTCCGACAGGATCTGCGTGTGTAAATTCACTGTCTACAGAAGCTGAAAGACCTGGAATCAGTTCCTTTTAAATTCAAATCATTACTGATTCTCACCTTTGGTGTAAAAATAAAGTAAAACTGTGCCAAAAAACTAAACTTGGATAACTCAATCGGTACTGTACTAAAAAAAAAAACAAAAACAATCAAGTAAGTAAAAATGTAATTTTGTTTTCTTCTCTTCTCTTTTTTCTTTTTAATTTATTTTTCATCAGTTTTTAATTATGTGTGCGTGTGTTCGTTCTCTAAAAAAAAAAAAAATAAAAGCAAAGATTCCTGCTTCCCATAACCGTCGAGTTATTAAAAAAAAATGATCTACAAAAAGGAAAAGAAAACAAGCACAAATAATTTTAGGATCGACCACCCTTTCTTTTCTTTTTTTTTTTACTTTGACCACAAGCAAAAGGTCTCAAAGATTTTATTTATGCCTCGCGCTCCACTGCACTTGATGATAGTTAACGTGTTAATTGCTTGTTGTTGCTATATTTGATATCTGACTTGACAGTTGATCAGAAAAATTACAATTTTGAACACAGACTTTTGTCAATGTTTCCATGTTTTTAATCCCTTTTTTAATTTTTACCTTTTATTTCTTTTTTCAGTTTAATTTTTGACAAATATATTTATTTTAGATTTAAATTAGAATTTCCGAAAACGGTCATGTACTTTTATTTATTTTCATTCTATTTTGTTTATATTTATAATTTATTTATTCAAGAATGTGACAATATTTACCAAAGTAATTGAGCGCGTTTTCTTTCAGATTTATTTTCTTTCCAAATATAAATAGTGTGCGTTACTCCATAAATGTTTCCGCTTTTTTTTTCAGAATGTTTAATTTCGAAGATAAAGCAAAAACGTTTCTTCACTCATTTAAGAAGATTTAACTACCAGATGCTGTTGTCTTGTATTGAGCGCGTATTCCTCGCTTCTGCCATTGGCTTTTCAAAATGCATTCTAAATTCTTTAAGTGCAGTGTTCAACACACTGTTTTAGTGTTTACGACTACTACTTTTTCTAGTTCTTTTCTCTTACAAAATATCACTGCCAAATAGAGGGAAAATGAAATACTAAAACTTAAATCGTTTTAAACTAGTTTTATTGTTTTTTAGCCCCCTTTTTGTCTAATTAAGGTGTGGGGGTAACATGAAACTTTAACTTGCTACCCAAGAAAAAATACCAAATCCATTTAAAGAACAGTTCTAAATTTTTATTTACTTTAACTTGTACTTTTTTAACTTCGTTTTTCTTCAGTTTGACATTTTTTTTTTTTTCATTGAATTTTAAGTAAATCGATAATTAAATTTTTAAAATCACTTTTTAAGCTCTGAAAATAATTTTTTTTTAATTAAATAATCTGGTGTAGTAGCAGTTTTTAATTTAAAATAAACAGTTTCCTTTTGACATAGCATCGATTCTTCTTGGCTCAAAAAGGCAGTTTATTTATTTTTAAATGAAGTTTATTGACCGCTTTCTGATTAAGAGTGTGTTTTGTTTCTTTTCTCATTCCTATCAAATAACTAAATCCCTAACAAGAAATTATTGGCGGTACAATTTTAAAGCCCAACCTATTGCCGTAAATGTTGCAAAAAGTTTCCTGCAACGTCGTTTAATTCTTTGGGTCTTTCCTTTTTTTTGTGATTTGTTTATGGGGAATACAAATTGTACCTAATTTCCAAAAGTAAATGAACCATCCAAGGCATTTTTTTTAAATAATCATCTTTTCACAATTTTAAAATAAAAATTAAAAGTAAGACGTTACATTCTCACCGTTTTTTTTTTTTTTTTTTTTTTTTTTTCTGGAGATTGACTTTTTGTCAAACTTTATTTTTCGTGTTTTTCTGTTTGTTGAGGGATCAAATTTTGAATCCACAAAGTTTTTTTTTTTGGGGGGGTTGTTTGTTTGTTTTAGTTTTTTTTTTTCTCTTATTCCCCTTAGGGTTCACGCAAACGGTTACTTTTAAATTTGAAGAACTTGTTTATTGGGTTAAAAAAATTGGAGTTTTTTTTTTTTTTTTTTTTTTTTTTTTATTTCTTAACTAGACGATGATTCTGGAATGTAAAAGAAACAAAAACCCATTTCTAAAAATTTTAATTCCACCACCGGTTTTGCAAGTTTCACAACATGGGATGAATAGCAGTATATTTGCTTTATTTATTTTTTGAGGTAAGCTAAGAAATTGTAACATTTTCCAGCTCATCAAAAAACTAAAAAAGAAAAAAATCAAATTTTTAATTATATAGCCTCCTGAGAAGATGCTTTCTGGTAAATACAATCTTAACATCTTCAAATCTAGGTTCAACCATCATCTGTCCTACATATTCTCATAATCTGCACATTTCTCCCTCCTTACATCCATGCAACAACCTCATTGAGTAACACTCTACTTTGAGTGGCTCTTTGTATTTGAACATTTAGTAAAAAGAAACAATAAAAAAACAGATTTTACACTTACATATACATATAAAATTTAAGGTTATGTTGGCTTATTGTAGGCATGTGCCTGTTTACATATAGGCAATTAAAGAAGCAACAAAACTTGGGTTTCTACTATGGATCGTATGTCCTTTTTCTGGTCTAGAAGTTAGGGTAAGTAATGATAAGGATGGTTATGTTGGTCGAGCTCAAGTCACTCTTACGCTGAGTTCAACAACAAAAATACAGGTTGTACTTACTTCATCCGTCAATCAACTGTTAAAAATAGGCATTTCACTTTGTGTGTGTACCGCTACATCTTGGAGTAAAAGGGAGAAAAGAGCATTCTGTCATTATTTGGCCAGTGGGGAAGAGATACTCCCAGTGGGGATGTCTTCATCCACATCCTGCTACATCTTGGAGCAAGGGTGAGAAAGCAAAAGAGGAAGTAAATGTCTATATTTGTATAGAACTTAACCTTTAGCACTGTGCATTATTAATATTACTGCTCTTTCCACTGCATTCTTTTTCAAGGCCTCTCAATTTCACTTTCAGTAACTTTATTGTTAATTTCACTCAGTTGTTTTCTGTTGCAATAGCAGGATATGACAACACAACTATGGAATTCAAACATACTATTGTTCAGGGATCAATCACCTTCAGTGGCAAGATAAACTTTTTGTACACTTACCAGGTAATAAAGTTATCAGCACTGATGAGCATTTGGCAAAGCCAAGTGGCATAATAAAACTTCCAATTCATTTATTACTAGCATCATGGGAAAAGTATTTCTTTTTTTATTATTCATTATTTTATTTACTGATTTTATTTCATTTTCCCACATAGATGCTTAACCTGTGCCATAAAAAAAATGACATTCTTTATGTTCATTTTTACTGTAGGGATTATTATTTATTAGTAGTAATAGTAGTATTAGTAGTAGTATTGGGGTTTTTCCTGCACGTTTTCAGATATATTTTCCACTTCAATATTTGTCTATATTTCTGAGATGAGTTATTGTAACTATTTACATTGTTTGGACTGTTGTCCTCATTTTTATTGCCATATTCACAACATTTCAGCTATTGTATGCTTCGGCCTTCTTCATTAATTGGAATTTCAAGATGAAAGTTGAGTTACTAAAGGGGAAATAACTGAAACTGAGATATCCAGAAAAGGCATGGCATGTGGACCTAGAACAATCTACCCCAGTGGACTAAATAAAGGGTTCAGTTCAAAATTCCAATATATATGACCTGAAGAAGGCTGGGGCATACAACAGCTGAAACGTTGTGAATATGTCAACAAAGATGAGGATAGAAGTCCAAAGCATGTAAATATTTTTCCACTTATTATTGCTCACTGTTCTTTCATAGTCATTCTTTTCACCTTTGAACTCTATAAACATCTTGACATAGTCTTCTACTCCCTCCTTTTTTTTTTTTCATAACAAAAACACTGTTACCGACCATCGCCAGTATATGGGAGATAACTGTAATGCAGCAAAATGTTCTATGTGCCATTTCCCTTCAGAACATGAGCTATCATGGCTCTCCACAACTTCCTTTACTTTGTAAAGTATGTCTTTTCACCATCCCTCCCAGTCCCTGTTCTTCCATCCATTTACACAAGCCTGTTAGGTAGGTTACTTACGGCTTTCCTCTGTCCTTCTTGCTTTCATTATGTCTTGTGATTGTCAAATTCTCCAAGTCCTCTGTCCTCATTATGTAACTCTCTTTCTGATTATATGTGTTTTTTTTTGTTTTTTTTTTTGTTTCTATCTTCCTTAAAACATCCTTGTTACTCACATGTTTCTTCCTCCTTGATACTTTTATTTTACTATTTTTAAATTTTTTTTTTTTTTTTTTTTTTTTTTTCCTGTTATAAAAAATTAGGGTGAGGTTATTATCTACATAGTGTTACAAGAATCCCTGTCAAGACTATCTTAAAATGATAATGTCTTCTTGTCAAAACCTTTGTGTGGGTGAGGATGGATGTGGACTCTGTATATATAATTCCATAATTTCTCATGTTGGGTCTTAACATAAAATGTTGCTCCTTGAGTTTTTTTAATGGTCACATTTTGATAAATATAATTTAGTGCACATTTCATGACTGCTTGAACAATTGCAACTTGATTTCTTCTTCTATATGCCATGTCCCTTCAGGACGTTGACGATTATGGCACTCCATAACTTCCTGTCTTTCTCAATAAATGTTGTCTTTTTTGTTATCTCTCCTAAACCCTGTTCTGCCATCCATTCACTAAATAGGTTTTGGATTATTTTCTCTGTCCCTCTTGCCTTCAATCTGTCCTCTGAGTATCAAATTTTCCAATCCCTCTTTCCTCATTCACAATGTTATAAAAGGGATAAATCTATTCATAACAGTTACATGTGTTAGTCACCCTTAATATCTTATAACCCATTTTCATTCAAACGTTACCAGAAAATATTAAAACATATGAAATACAAAGTGCATCGATAGATGTATATTGTAATATTTAACAATGTACAAGTACTACATTCTGATTGGTATTTACCGACCTCTCCACAAAGGTGGGGTGTGACACAAAGTGGTTTTTAATGCAAGGTACCTATACATGTACATACGACAAAAATTGGTTGCCCGGTAACTATCACTGTCATGCTGGTGTTGGTATTCATCAACCCACACTCTTTAATGAAATGAGGGAGATACTGCCACAGTACTGGAATCTCCAGGACCAAGTATCTCACAAAGATTTTCTGCAAACTGTCTGAAGACAGAAACGAAGCAGAAAGGTGAAGGACAGATACTACACATTGATCCCAACTAGAAAACCAGAGGATCTGTGACACTCTGATCCTAAGTAGAAGTGCCTAGAAGCCCAATTTTAGTACTGGGCAGAGCACACATGTACTACCCTCTGATCTGTGGCAGAAAGTAGACGAGGGATATATTTGTCCATGGCAGAGCACACAAATAGTCTAGGCAGAAATGCTGCTTATTGCAAAAATAATCCTGTAATTTTTGACAGGTACAATGATTAGGAAATAATTCATGAGATGAGGTCTAAGGAAGATAAAAATATTGAGATTGATTTAATTTCTTTAGAGATTAATATTAAGATCAGTTATCCTGTGTAAATTGAAACTGAAAGTAAATAAAATATGTGAATTCTTAACTGAGTTTATGAAACAGCCTAATGAAAAGGATATAAAAAAAAAATAATTTCAATCTTGATTACTGATGATTAAAAATCCTAATCTGTATAAACAAACATACTGGTGCCTCAACTGCATAAATTTAAGAGTACTACTAGATTGGCAACTAGGTCTCACCATTTTACTGTTGCAACCATATATTCTATTCTAATAGTTTGTTTTTTTTCAAACTTTTCACTTGTAGGACTCTTTTTTTTCTTTTTTTTTTATTTATTTCTTGCTTCCCAGACACCTATAATCTTCAAAAAGTTAAATACAATGCCAATTGTCATCTTCAGTCTTCCTGAATCCTGTTCTTTTTTGTCCTTTCTGCTCACTAAGGTTTTCTCATTCTCTTTCACTCTCAGTAACCCCGTACAGCCTAGTGGTATTATCACCTTGCTTTGGGGTGAAATGATTAAAAATATATATATATATATATATATATATATATATATTTCATAGCAGTTTATATTAGATAAAAAAACTGAATTAAAATGTTGGGCAGTGGATCATTATATATTAAGCCACAGTTACAATTTAAATTGAATCTGGGCTTACAGTCATATCATATTGAAACACTGGTTCTCATATGATTACTCAAGTTAAGCAATGTCAGCCCTGATCAGTACCTAAATAGGTGACCACTTGGGAATACCAGGTCCTGTAAGCTTGGATGCATGGGTGGTGCAATGATAACCACTCAGAAATGGAAATGGGAGAACCAAATTCCAATCCAGTAAGGTTTGTTATAATCACTTACATGCAAATACTCTTGGGAAAGGTATGAACCCACTTCTTCTTCCCCTTCCAATTATGGATTAATTAGTTGAAGTTATATCAGTAAATCATTATTATCTCCCAAAAGTTCTTTCAATCTAAAAATATTTTCTGGCTTTAAATAACCTGCAAAAGGCTGATAAACCATAAAAAACAAACAAATCAATCAATCAATCAAATTGAATCTGAATTGGAGAATATGTATTCATCTCTCTCTCTCTTTCATATATTGATTTTCCAAGCATAGCTTAGATGTGGCACAAGGCCGAAAGTATGAGGCACCCAGTTAGGATCGAACTCACTATTCAGTCATAATTGTTCTAGCGCAACAAGCTTGCTAACCATTACACCACCTTGAGATGCCCCTCTCTCTTATATATATATATATATATATATATATATATATATATATATATATATATATATATATATATATATATATATATATATATAACCAGTGCCTGTTTCTTTGTAACACACAGAACATGTCATATTTTTGTTCATGTTTAAAATTGTAGGCCAGATAAACCTTTTTATAGTCTTCATATATAAACCAAAATATGTCTGCCTAAAATGGTATAGCATATGTTACTCATCTAATGAGGTAATGAAAACATTACAAATTATAGCAATGATCATGAACTTTTTTTATAAAATTCTAAAGACGTATTTCAATAATTTAAATATCTTTGAAGTTTTAATTTTTGAAAATCATGTAAAATTGGTCAAAAAATAATAAAAATAACTTTTCAGTATCCCCTTGTACAAAGATATTTCTACAATGTATATCTTGGGTATTACCACAAATGATACCATGGTATACTGGTTGATATGGGTCTACTTCAGATAGGAATTTAAAAACAAAATGTTGTGATAAGTTTCAACAATCCAAAACAGAACTTAAGATACAAGTCCAGATAGATATCAGTATGTCATGTGACAAGAATAAAATGAATACCAATTTATATTCCTGTATTTCTCCAGAAATACTGAAAGTATGTCATTATCTGGTGTGGACTTTGTCAATGTTACCAGTTTTTGTCCTGATAACAGTTTAAAAATAACAAACTTTTCCTCAGTAAATATTAAGTAATTAGTGTCATTAACCAAGCATTGTAGAAAGAATCCAAGCTCCTCACCATAACATACTATTCTTTAACTATCAGCAAGTCATATAAAGTTGATACAAGTTGATGAGTTTCTATATTAAGTTGTATCTAACTAGCCAATTATTTCCGAATTCATTTTTAATTAGATGCTTTCAAAATGAAATAACCAGTTTAAATTTATAACAAAGAAATAAAACACTTTTACCATGCTACAAGTTAAATTAGTACTAACAAGAATTTCAGAAAAGCTATAAGGTTGAATCAATAAGTCTGACATGTATAAGGAGGTGCTGAAAAATTCTTAGCCTGACCAAGAAGGGATTTAAAAAAATTAATCTTTGATCATTTACAGTGAAATATTTTAAGACATTTTTATGTTTATACATTCTTTTTATAGATTCAAATATTTAAGTAAATTCTCTGTTTTATAATAAACAGTATTTATAACATTTACCAGCCTGAATGTCCAAGAAATTTTCATCGAAAACATTTGTCCTCCGACAGTAATCGAAACTGTATCCTATACAGAACTGTCATTTAGACTGACGTGCTCTTAACCAATGGAGGATCGTTTGTTTCAAAATTATTTCTTTATAAAATGGTAAATAGATCTTTATGAAATGTAAATAATATCGCATTGTACTTGGTTTACATATTACAGTATACAGTAATAGTGTTGCCAAGAGAATAACTGTCCTTTGGCACAATGTTTTTTTTTTTTTTCAAGCACAAAGGTTAAACATTGCCATATTTTATTTGTCAAAAATGTGTGAGTATAATTATATAAATTATATATATACCTGTTAAAAATGACAGGATTATTTATACATGGATTGGCACATTTACCTAAAATCAGTTTATCTGTATATTTTACTGAAAATCAGCAAACTGATATAAAGGCTATATATATATATATATATATATATATATATGACCTGTCTGCTTAACTCCAGATCAAATATTTGAATTAGGACAAGATTCTTGCGCCAATTTTATATATTTGTTTGCTAGAGCATGACAAATTATAAACAGGGAGTAGAAGACGTACTGAAAATATTCTACTGTTCATTTATTATGCAATTTTAAAAATCTCTAGTTGGCTGTCAGCAAGATTTTCCTGTTCATTGATACAAAATAAAAAGAAATCTGACCTGGTTTTTAAGCTTTACTCTTTTGTTGAACTTATTTGGAATAATGTACTAGTTGTAACCCTGTACAACCTGCTGCATAGATTGGTACTTGGTGTTTAAACATGCTAGCTTTTCTGCTGTTGAAGAGGTTGGCATATCATCACAGAACATAAAAGGTAGATGAGCTTCTTATAGGAGTCAACAGCCAGCACACACAGCTATCTATCTATCTATCTATCTATATATATATATATATATATATATATATATATATATAGAAATAAGGACCTCAAGCTTTGAGTGGCAACCTTCCTAGAGATGGTATCATGATAAAAACACTCAGTGGATTACCATGAGTTTCTGAGTTTGACATCAGGAAGAGCATCCGGCCTTGTAAAACCTTGCCTCAAATCATTATAACAGATCCTTTGTCAAGCAGGACCTGCCTTGCTTTGTGCAAAATCAATCCCAGCCCTGCCTCAACAAAAGCCACACCTATGTACATATGTATGTAGTTTCTGATTTGTTAATTTTATACTAATATTCATCCAATACAATGCCCAAGAGCCACTCAAGGTAGACAGCATAAGCAAAAGCAAGAAATGAAGAGCTACTCAAGGTAGACAGCATAAGCAAAAGCAAGAAATGAAGTTCATGGAGTTTTACAGGAAAGATAAGTTATCCCTAGACTTGAAGAGGTCAAGGTTGTAGTGATTTGGAAAATATCCTGCCAGGAGTCACTTCCACAAAGCAGCAGTTATTAGGAAGAAACTATCTGAATGAAACTTCTTACTATTGGAATATGAAGGGAATGGGGAGGATTCACTTTTGTGTATGTGGCATGGTAGGTCCCAGTTGTTAAGGGTAATGGGCTAAGGCATGTAGCTTGTCGGAACACATACCATGGAAATAGCTATAGAGAGTGAGAGGCTTGAAATATTTGTTGTAGAGTGGGAAATAATTCATCACTCACAAGGCTGCATAGATGCTTTTGAACTCTATCAAGACAAGTATGTGAAGACTGTGCAGCTCCAGCCCGGATATGGCAACAACAATTCATTTTTGATCTAATCTGACTCTTGTAAAGATAAAATAGAGCAGAAGGAGTCAAATACTTACTGGAGCAATACAATGAACCAGCCATTTTTCCAGCATCTTTAGCAATAGATCATTCTACTTGAGGTCATGGAGAGGCCTTGAGTCCCAATAGATGTTCAAGGCAAGGAGCCTCCTTGAGAGAACACCCACCCATCATGGTAGGTGCTGCTATTTTGTTTTTGGCCATATTGAATTTTACGAGCCAATCCAATTGAACCACCTGGGCTAAGTCAGAGGACAGATTAGCTGCTAGGTTTTGGCCTTTCAGATTTACAGATGTGCATCTGTAAACTGTTGTATCAGCAGCATAGATACTCTCTAATGATTGAAGTGTGCTGTTAGACAGTTTGGTTGGGTTTATATCAACCTCAATGGGTTCTTTAATGCCAACAACATTTTTAGGATAGATTTGTATGAATAGAATATGTATTCTTTGATTTAGATTGGTTTGGTTTATTTTGTTTTGTGGCATAACAACCTCAATGGGTTATTTAATGCTGACAAAATTTTTTATTGCTGGTAATATTTTGTTTTCTCAAAAATCTGTTTCTGGTAATATATTTCCTTCAAAATTGTATTGCTGGTAATAATTTTCAAAAAAGTATTGCTGGTAATAGTTAAGTATTTGCCAATAGCTGGGACCCTAACAGGTACTACTACCCCAGGTCAGGGTGGAACTGGGAACACCAGCAATTAAGATGTGGTTCCACGCCCCTCAAAACCTCCTGATCAGAGGCCTTTCTGCTGGATGTAGTTTAACGTCTTACCCAGGATGGCTCTTAAACAGAATCTATCAATTTGAATAAAAAAATAAGCAACTAATTTTTTTTTTTTTGTTTTTTAATTTTTTACAAGTTCAGTAAATAGCATTTTTCCTCAAAATATAAAATGTAATTGCAGAATTTCAGTTTCAATTTCTATGATAAATAGTCATCATTATCTTTGGGGGCACAAAAACAAATTAAAACAATAAAGTGCTACTGGTGAACAGGGGAGGTTGATTTTTTACTTTTTTAAGAAAATCATCATTGCACACTGTGTGAAAGTTGGGGTCTGATGTTGATAAGTACTGTTCCCAAAAATTAGATTTGTAGCTTTTACTAATTTTTGAGCATTTAGCTTTAAAGATCACCTGACAAAACTGTACAAAAATACAAACCTCTCATCAACGGACTAATAGGAGGATGGTGTGGTCCGTTAAAGTTGATTGTCCATAGATGAGAAGGGCTTATTTTTGAGTTATAAAACCACTATAGTAACCACCACTAGATATGATCATTATGTAAATACTATAAACATGTATACATGGCATAAATAAATATATATTTAATATAGATATATTAATCAAAACAACAAAAATAATAGATTTCTCACAGCTACTTTTTCATGCACGCACTAATGTATCATACTTTATATACTGTACACCCATCTTTGTTTACAATTGAAAAGCCTTCCACTGCCACCAAGCAGTCACTTTGAGAACTAATATAACTCCTTTTGCTAAGCCCGCAAATTTTGAAATATATTGCTGAAAATTTGGAAGTTTTTTTCCCA